AGACCTCCTCGCCTCGTGCCCCCCGTTTCGTGTCTGAACCGCAATACTGCCGTGCTAAGGAAGAACGCCGTATGAGCCTTCGGACGTTGCCAAGTTTCCTCCGATGAAAACCGAATTAACTGGGAAAATTGTGAATATTATGCTCCAAAATTTTCAGATAATTTTGTACGCAATTTAATCTAAAACATCTGAAAATTTCAAAGAAAAATATGCATGAATGTTATCAAAAATATCCGTTAAATTACTTTTCCGGGCACTAGATTATTTAATTTTTCACATCCACTCTTCTTTCATTTACAAAGTGACGTAGTTAAGATGTTTCAGATAACCGATTTTCCTTCATCTAACAGGGTAGGCAAAATAGGCTCCTGCGAGCTTCAATAGTGGTATCCAATCATCGGATTCTCGAAGCAATGATATGCAGCCAGCTGAGAGGTACGACTATATAAGGTCTCGATAGACGATCAAAGTCCCGAACCAATTACCATCAAAGTGTCGGGAAAGTCTTAAACTCATTAATTTGCTTAATTTTAAAATGAAAACTTGGCAGAAATGTTTCCAGTGGCGTAGGAAGGGGGGGCCAGGGGGGGCCTGGCCCCCCCCCAAAATTGGAAATAGTATCATCTGGCCCCCCCCAGAAATTCTGGATGGTGCAAAAACACCATCTTTAACGGTAAGTCTCTGTCGCCGTGGCCCGTGAGAGGATGCCTCTGGCATGATTCTGGCATTCACTAAACATTTATTTCGCAATTTTCACACAAATGAGTGGTTAAAAGTGAGAAAATAAATGGAATAACCTGTTGAATGCAACAATTTCAAAGTATTTTAACCTTAAAATGCATAAAACTGGGTGAATTTTATGCAGAAATTGAAGGAAGATTAACGCCACAAGTGCCTCGAGATGCGCTCAAATAGAGTTAAAATTTCAAAAATTTTCCGGGGGAGGCCCCCCGGACCCCCCGCTGACCTGGGGGGTATTCCATACCCCCCAGACCCCCCGGTGGTGGGGGGCCAGGCCCCGCCCAGCAAAATGGCCTAGCTACGCCTATGAATGTTTCCTGTGGCAGGAAATGATGAATGGTGGCACTCCATTCTGATCTTACTTTGAACAAAATAGTGCGACCCGTCCAAATTTGATGGTAGATGGTGACCATCAGTCATCAGCATGTCTACTTTGATCGGAATTGGTTCGGAATTTGATCGTCGATTCAGGGCTTCTGAAACGATTTGATGAAGCCAAAAAACATCGGCTCGTGGCATCGACGAGAGAGGTCACTACTAATCCTCTTGAATTTTCCTCTCTATATGTTAAATTACTTTTCCGGGCACTGGATAATTTAATTTCTCGGGCGCTAATTTTGCGACTGCGGAGACTCATCAAGATTTCCGGCGAAGGACACGGGGGGCCGGGGGGGGGGGGNGGAGGGAATACGGGTAAACAATCAAGAAACGGGCTCATTGAAGCATCCAAGCGCAAATAATGAAAGACAACGGTAATTAGGAACCGGGAGGAGGAACCGGGACTCCCGGGTCGGAGCGGCGGGGGCGCCGGTCCAGTGTCCGTCCGATCCCTGTCATTTCCGCGAAGATTTTCAAGTGCCCGGGCTGATTTCCCACACGTAATTGAACTGGACTACTCCCCAGATCTGGACTCGGCGAGCTTTGCCTAGTTCATTACCCCCAGGAAGTTAACCGGTCCCGTTTCTGTTACGTTCGATCCGTTTGAAAAACCTTTCGAATATTTAAAGACGCTTGTTACTATTTTTAACCGATGATTTTGGGAGGAGATAACGCTTATCGTGATTAAAAAAATCACAAAAAACACGTACCTAGCTCATTACTCCAGAAAGCTGTGCGTACACTGGAAAAAAAAAAACACATTGGATCTAGAGTCCCAGACTCTTGATTAAATCAGATTTAAGCTTAAATCAAGAACCAAGCCTCTTAATTTGAGCGAATTTCCTTTTGATATAAGCTTAAATCTGATTGAATCAAGAGTCCTTTTTCTTGTCGATGTTTTTAAGAGTCTGGACTCTAGATCCAATGTGTTTTTTTTTTTTTTTTTCCAGTGCTATTTTTCATGCCCGGATTTGCCGAGTAGGCAGATAAAACGCTTCCAGAATTTCTATACATTCATTTATTTTTTTGTCAAGTTGAGGGAGAGTAAAATATTTTGAAATCAGTTTCTATCAAAAGGTCACGGTTTCAAAATTTTCAGAATTTATTTCCAGTTTTGGCCTTATAAAGGGAGTAACATTTTTTGATACTTTTTAACCCACGGTGTTCGTTGCGAACGACCTGTTCATCGATTTTTTCCCCACAAGTTTAAATGGCAACCAATCAATACATCGCAAAGCACACCACGCCCCTGCTAATTACGCTGCAGAAAACGTCATCGAAAAAGCCACGATGACGTCATAAACGAATTTATCCCAATGACGTCATCCTCGCTATTCCATGGCGTTTAACGATTGGTTAATTCATCAATCAATTAGCATGAATATAGCGACGCACACACGAATTGGTTGTTTTTCTTTTGAAAGTAGTAAGATTATTTCGCATGGATCTCTCTAAACCACACCTCAGCGAAGATCCGATCCAAATCGGAAAGTCTCACCCCCTTGGCGTCCCGTCGAGGCCCGACATAAATTGAATCATCACCTCGTCGGCACCGCGCTCGCGGAAACATTTCCCGACGCCGCTGCGCTGGTCGGGCAGCGTTTTCGACAATTTGTAAATTCGGCGAGTAAATTATTTGCGGGGTAAAAAGGCGCAGTTAATTGGCGCTTTAGTCGGCCTCCCGGCTCGCAGTAATTTCAAAATCATTCGCTCTTACTTGCCTCTCTCCCCCGTGCCCTCCCTTCCCCCGGTCACCCCTCACCCCCCGTTGCCCCTCATCCGCCGCTTCGCCAACCCGACTGTAGATTTGAGAAAGTCAGCGAGAGCTCATAAATTATCCGGGATGTGCGCCGGCACATTAACACGCATCCCTCATCAAGCAGAGGTGCCACACAGTGGGGAGGTGGCGGGGGGAGGGCAAATCACTGCCGTGGAAGGGAGGAGGGAGGCTGGGAGGCACGGAAGGGAGTCAAGTGAATTTAGTCCGCGCTCCTCTATTTCCAGTGATATCAAGCCACCACCTCGCCGCTTTAGCCCATTGTTTTGGAACACTAAACCTGCGAGGCAATTAATTATCACTTATCCTCTTTTTTTGTGGCGACCGCTCCGGGTTTTTTTTTCTACCTACATGACTGCCGTGCTAAGGAAAAAGGCTGTATAAGCCTTCAGGCTTTGCCAAATTATCTTCGACAAATCGCGGAATTTTAGGAAAATTTGCGAATGTTTTTCTTTAGATTTTTCAGAGAATTTTGTCCGCACTTTAATTTAATGCCTCTGCAAATTTCAAGGAAAAATGTTCAAAACTTTCTAAAAAAAAGAAAAAAAAATTGTTTTCATATAAAAATGTGATGTCACTCTTTAGGCAGACGCAAAACATATATCACTGAGAATTTTATTCCCAACTTTGTAAAATTCATATAATCGGTAGTCATGCACAAGTGGGTAAGTTTGTAAAATTCATTCATTTTGTCTACAAAAGAACTATAAAATTAACAAAATTCGTAATCATGCACAACTACGGAAAAAATTGAATGTTGATTTAGCATTTACACCAATTAAAACAATGTGCGACAAGTATTAAATGCTGATTTTAAATTAAAAAAATTGCTACCTCAACATTAAATTTGTCCATTTAACCGTGGACGTAGTTAACCTATAGCATTGTTTTATTGTAAAGTCAGCATCAATACTTGTCGCGCATTTTTTTAACATTTAAATGCCAAAGCAACATCCAATTTTTTTTCGCGAAGGCGGTAAAAGAGACATATCTTGTACTCTGTATGTCTGCTATCGAATACATGCTTCGCGACCGATCGCACTCGTTCTCCGTAACATGTGAAACTGGGAAACTACAAACACTTAAACCGATTTGGCATGTTTCATCTCTCTTAGGAGACTTTCTCCTCTCTCCGGATAATAAATTGAGACAAGGTCCGAGGGGAAAACTCACAAGAGGCACGCTCCAGATTTGCACCTTTCCTCTTGACACTCGAGGCTGCATTCTGGTGTGAAAGTGTCAAGTTGGTCCTCCTGTCAGTGGTTACTTGTCGTTGGCAGATTTATATTAATGACTTTCTTATACAGCGAACACAGACTCAGCTCCTCTAATGATCTTCAAGAGCGATCTGTCTCACCCTTCTCAGACGAGCCACATCCTCGTCCGAAATTTTAGTTTCAAACGGATTCTTAAATGATTTTGTTCCCGATGAATGAGCGCTAGTACGCGAAATCAAATCGTCGCTTGGTTGACATGAGGGCGTAGCTACACATTGAGATGAACCCGGAAAAGCTTTGAATTGTATGGTGGACAGGGTTCACTGCAGAGTGTAGTTACGCTTTTATGTCAGGTAGGCGACGAAATGAAGTTTCTGGCGTGTTCAGAGAATAGGTCAACATCTGAAGGTTCTCAAATCATTTTTTTAGCGGGAATATATTTAGTGCCCTTAGACTGCCGTGCTAAGGTAAAACGTCGTATGAGCCTTCAGACGTCGCCATATTTCCTTAAATAAATGAAAAATTCACCGGGAAATTGTGAGTATTTTTCTTCATATTTTTCCAGACGTTTTCGTTCATCACAATAGAATCTAAATATTCTGAAAATTTCGAGGGGAAAAATGCATAACTTTCCTCAAAAATACATGTTTTATCCGGGAAAATTTGGCAACTCTGAATGGTCTTACGGAGTTCTTCCTTAGCATGGGTTAATTTGAGGCTTTTGATTTCCATCGATTTTAAGAATGAGAAATTTTCACGTGAACAAATTAGTTTCAAGGCGAGTTTTTGAAGTCTCATTGCTTATTTTGTTAGTTGAATGTACACGTAAGCTACCGATTCCCCACCCACCAAATTTCTAAAAGTTTTATGATTTACACTTGTTGCAGGAATCAGCCTGGACACTCAGATCGAAGGATGTTTGTAAATCTCTCAATACTCCGTACGGACCACTCATCACCTGGATCCATTCGGACAATTCAGCGGGTCCACAGGAGACTCGTTAAGTGATATTACCTCCAATGATATCCGAGTTCTAATTTTCTCCGCGTTAAAAAATCATTTATAACGCATGATGACGGATTTTTGAGTGAAATCGTCCCTCGTAACATAAAAACCGGGTTTCTCGGTTTCGCGGTGTGAATTTGCGAGTTTGAGCTACGTCGGATTTTTGAGCGTTGAGCGTGAGTGGAATTCTTCCATATGGTGCCTATGGAGGATCACTGTGCTTTGCGGGGTTGTGCGACGGATTTCTCGATCGCTGCCATCATGGCGCGCCGCGACCGGAAACGCTCGCTCAAGTCCCCACCGAGCGGAGAGTGCGAACCCGCGACCCCCAGCTCTGGATACGAGACCACCACCGCACATTCTGGTACGTGGCATTTTTGTCGTTTATTTGATTACTGAACAGGATGATAGAATAGAATATGGCTGAGTCTACACTATATTTCAAGGAATGGGTCAGTTGCACTGATCATGAAATCAGGTTTTGATGCTTGATTCTTGTGGATTAGCAAAAAATAATCAGATCCGTCCAAACAGCAACTCTCCATACGTTTAAAATTAACCGAGATATCGCGCTTTGAAAAGTCGGATTTATGACGTCATCCATCGCGGTAGTGAGACCCTCGGTTTCATCCACCTTACTTTCATTTGTTAGGGAAACACACATTTTCACTGATTACTCAATGTGAAACCCGGATGAAAGTAAGTTGGGAAAACCAAAGGTGTCACTACCTCGGTGGATGACGTCATAAACATAATTTTTCGAAGCACGATTTCTCGGTTGACATTGAACGTAGAAAGTTGCTGTTTGGGTAGATCTTTTTATTTTTAGCTGATCAACAACTCTACAAGAATCAAGCACCAAAGCACAATTTTGAGACCAGCGCAACTGATTTATTCAAGGCCTAAAAGCCCGAACAAATATTAGAGTAAAAAATCCAGAGTAAGAATGCCATTGAGTATCAGTGTGAAACCGAGGATGGAGAGTGTCTTTTTGCACAGATATTCTAGACACAATCAATATACATTGACATTTTTGACGAACTAAACATAACCATTTGCAATTTTTGTTAATAATTTCACGTCTGACTCATTAAATAGCTTGGCCAACTTCGCGCCGCAAAATTAGCCAAGTTGCATAATCGTCACGACAAGATGCGCTTCAGGGAGGATCTAGAAGTGATCCGAGCGAACAAGTGTTCCATCGTTATTCCCAAACGGACAAACCGACAACTGCGATAAAGAGTTCTCTGTCAAGCTCCGTTTCGACAAATCAAGAAGTCGGTCTTTCATCAAACTAAAAGCGTGAATTCGTACAATGGGCGCTCGGGCTGAGGGGGAGGGGGTGGAGGTCGGGTACTTATTGGACGTTTGATTGTCATATGACGTGGCGCGAGCGCGAGGCCGCGTTGGTGTCATTCCGTGAGCCCGTGTCCGCGCCCTGGCTCCCACCCA